AAGAACCACATCGGTTCTTGACCTTCCCATTCCCCACTCGAGTTTCACTAACTTGTCCGTCGGAGGAACTACGGGGGAACCGATCCCCGCCTTCTCACGGGTTCTTTTTGTCTGTGCAGCGTGGACATCAAGTCCTCGTTCAAGAACCAGTCATAAAGTCGAAGAAGGGAGCGGGCCCTCCATCATCCTTCATCACCCCGCAACCATCCTCTTCTGAATTATTCTGTTTGATATTAAGCATCAACAGTTTGACGCTCACCGTGGGGCCACTCTTTTTTTTAAGAAGACATGCCAAGTTCTGATCAATGGTCTGATTCTACTCACCCCGAAGAACAACATCGGAGTTGCATCACCATTTTTCCAAATTAATTTCTTTTTAGAATTATTCCTTTCTGAAAATAAATTCTTTTAAAATGTTTCTCATCATATTAATTCAAACTAGTCTTTAAAAATCATAATTTATTTATTCAAAATAATCCATTTACAAAATAAATTCTTTTAATTTATTTCTAATCCTTTAAAATCATATTTTAATTTCAATGTATTCATTTATCATAAATGAGTTTAAAATACATATCATGATCATCAATTTCGCAACTATAACTATAGCAATGTTAAATATCATTCATCAACAATCTCACGCATGTAATAATATACCACAATCTAATTTATGCAATTAATTAATTCACAACGGATCTAAATATTATACAAGACGCAGTCAAGACCCAAGAGGTGTCTTGCCATCGGGTACGTCGAACGAATCGACGTCTGCACGCCTCGGGGATTAATTGTGGCACTTGCGAAGGCGGAGTTTAAGCGGATCGGAATCGCCGGGGAGCACAGCGCGACAGTTTGAAGGGACATGTGGCGGAGAGAGGGTTTGGGCCGGCTGGCGATGTCGACGACGAGTGAGGGGGCATCCGGGCGCGGGGTGATGGGGGTGGACTGTGGCCGACGGCGGGAGCTCGCGGCGAGGTGGTAGCGGACGAGGCAGCTGTCGGGTCGGCGGGGGCAGGCAAGGCCAGACCGACGAGGGGGCAGGTGTTGCTACAGGGGATTGAGGGAGGCGCTGGGGTCAGAGGAGCGCTAAGAGCGGGGGGGGAGAGCCGACGGTGGGTGAAGGAGATGGGCTGAGGCGCGGAATGAGCTGGCGAGCGGACTCTGGTGGTGGAGCTTGCGGTGATGAAGGGGCTGCGTAGAGGTGGGCGGTGGCTTGGAGGAGGTCGTCAGGGGTATTGATTGGTGACGGGGGAGGTCAGGGAACGAGCTGGAGGTGCGTTGGAAGAGAGGGATGTCGGAGGTCGAGCATATGGTGAGCCGACGAGAAGCTTGGTGATGGAGGTTGTCGGCGCCGCGGCTCAGGTGGTTCGAGGTCGCGGGCGCAGAGGGCGGTGGTGATGGAGGAAGAGCGGAGGAGGAAGAGGAGGTGGGGTTCGGGCGACGGAGGAAAAGAACACGAGGGAGAGAGAGAGAGAGGAAGAGAGAGAGAGAGACTTATATATACATATATACATATAGGGGCCGTTTGGTTGGTTTCCTAAAAACCAAGAAAAGAAAATCGGTACAAGGAAACTAATAAAAAAATATTTTTATCCATTTTCATCCCTAAAACTCACCCACAACATCCAATAAAATAATATTTTTATCTTCCAACTCATCTCATTTCATCTCATTTCTTACCTTTAAAAATAAACCAAACACAAGAAATGTGTCACCTCATCCAACTCATCACATCTCATCTTATCTCATTTTTAAAAATCACACACATCATCCAATAATATTGTGACAACTCATCTCATCTCATTAAACATTCCTTTCCATCCATTTCCTCAAGGGCCTGTTTGGTTATTTCCTAAAAAACAAAAAAATAGAAATGAAAACCAATAAATCTCAAAAAGTATAATTTCACACATTTTCATCCCTAAAACTCACCCACAACATCTAATAAAATATTATTTTTATCCAACAACTCATCAACCACATCTAATAAAATATTATTTTTATCCAACAACTCATCCATCACATCCACCACATCTAATAAAATATTATTTTCATCCACAACATCACTCAACTCATCTCATCTCATATTAAAAAATCACTCACATCATCCAATAAGATTGTGACAACTCATCTCATCTCATTAACATTTCATTTGTTTGTTTTCCTCCCAAAAAGGTAGGAAAACAATTTCCTTAAGTGTAGATCACATCATCCAATAATATAATGACAACTCATCTTATCTCATCTATTTTCTTATTTTTAAGAAATAACCAAACAAAAGAAAACAACCTATTACAAGAAATAGGTTTTTTATAATTCATTTTCTTATTTTTTCCGCCAACCAAACAACATCAAAATAAGTTTTCTTAAAAAATCACTCACATCATCCTATAATAAGGTGATAACACATATTATCTCATCTCCATTTTTTTTGATTTCCTTTTTTTTAGTCAACCAAACAATCCCAAAACCTATTTTTTCTTAGAAATAGGTTTCCTTTTCTTTGATTTCCCTCTTTTTTTTAAGCAAACAAACAGCCAAAAAAAAAAACAAGAAATTGATTTCCTTAACTATGTGTCACATCATCCAATAATATACCTCCAACTCATCTTAAAAAAAACAAGAAATTGATTTCCTTAACTATGTGTCACATCATCCAATAATATACCTCCAACTCATCTCATCTCATCTATTTTCTTATTTTTAAAAATGAACCAAACACAAACAACCTCAAAACATCATCCAATAATATACCTCTAATTCATTTCATTACTTTTTAACCAACCAAACAACCTCAAAACAAGTTTTTTTTAAAAAATCACTCACATCATCCAATAATAAGGTGACAACTCATCTCATCTTATCTCCTATTCTATAGTTTTCTTCTTTTTTAAGCCAACCAAACAACCTCAAAACAATTATTATAGGAAATAAGTTTCGTATTCTTTGATTTCCTAATTTTTTTTTGTGAAACGAACTGCCCCATAAAGGAAATTTTAGGGTTTTGAAATATAATTAAAAATAATAATTATTACGAAATAAATTAAATAATTATCTACACATTAAAACATATAAGTTGTACTAATTCAACCGATAATATGCAACTGTAGAAATAATATAAGAAATTATACAATTAAATAATAATAATTAATAAAAAATATAATTACTTATATTTAAAATCAAATAATTATAGGATAAATTTCTACGCGATAAAATGTACCAGTTGTGCTAATACGACAGTTGATACGTAATAGTAGAAATAATACAACAAATTGCACAAATAATACGTAATTAATAATACAACATATTATACGAAATAATACGTAATAGTAAAAATAATACAATGTATTATTTAAAATAATATGTAATAGTATCGATAACACAACAGATAATTCCAAATTTTTTTACTGTACTAAATAAATTTATAATTATCTAAATAATTTAAATAAGTACAGATTTAAATCGTCAAAAATTATAGAAAATCAAGAAAAATACAAATACTCTTTTAAAAATAATAATTGAATATTTTAAAATATCAAAAATTATTTTAACTATTAAATTCATGGTCCTTATAATTTCCATGCTCAAAAAGTTTTATAGGATCACATAGGCAAAAGAATATGATAAAAAGATTTGAAGCACTTTGAGAAGTGTCTTTGTCCTTCAGAGATCACATCAAATCCTATCATGCATATTTTGGCATTTAGGGGACCGATGAACAAAGACATACAATTTTTAAGAAAAAAAAAATTAGCTTATGAGATAATAATGAGAAGGAACATACCGAGAATGAAATCCTATCATAAGAGAGATGCTACTACGAAAATCTCTACCTCTTCCTAAATGTAAAGACCATCGTGACTAGAGATTCCCCATTCCGCTTTCAAAATATGTTGAGTTCAGGACTTCATGGCAAAAATAAATAATAAACATAAATTAAAAAAAAAATAAAAAAGGTAAAAATAAAAAACAAAACAAAACAAAGACAAGAAAAAGCCAAAATAATATAACTCCCCTAGTCTGATTAGAAAAATTCATCAATGACCCAAAATATGGGACCAATAAAGGGGACAAGTGAGGTGTCTCCTTCCTATTGGATAATGAGTTGATCATCATTAATGATGGCCAACTCATTATCCAATAGGAGGGAGCCATCTCACTTGTCCCTCCAATTGGTCCCATATTTTGGATCCCTGTAGCAAAGCTCGTCTGATTAATATTACCTGCATTTCCAACAGAAAATGCCACGTAAGCATCTCCTCGCTTGAAGCCGACGCTACACCAAACAGCTTCTTCCCGTTTGGTTGGTTTCCTAAAAATCAAGAAAAGGAAATCGGTACAAGGAAATCAATAAAATAATATTTTTACCCATTTCCATCCCTAAAACTCACCCACAACATCTAATAAAATATTATTTTTATCTTCCAACTCATCTCATTTCATCTCCTTTCTTACATTTAAAAATAAACCAAACACAAGAAATGTGTCACATCATCCAACTCATCACAACTCATCTTATCCCATTTTTAAAAATCACACACATCATCCAATAATATTGTGACAACTCATCTCATCTCATTAAACATTCCTTTCCATCCATTTCCTCAAAAAAAAACAAGAAATTGGTTTCCTTAAGTACGTGTCACATCATCCAATAATATACCTCCAACTCATCTCATCTCATCTATTTTCCTATTTTTAAAAACGAACCAAACACAAACAACCTCAAAACATCATCCAATAATATACCTCCAATTCATTTCCTTATTTTTTTAACCAACCAAACAACCTCAAAACAAATTTTTTTTAAAATCACTCACATCATCCAATAATAAGTTGACAACTCATCTCATCTTATCTCCTATTCTACAATTTCTTTCTTTTTTAAACCAACCAAACAACCTCAAAACAAATATTATAGAAAATAGATTTCCTATTCTTTGATTTCCAAAAAAAATGGCCAAACGAACAGCCCCTTACCCAACAACCATATGCCACGTGGAGAGTCCACCCCTTCCCCATTCCCATTGAAGTCGCTCGCCTCCTCTTTTCTATTTTAAAATCCCCAAATCCAACCATCCATCGATCCCCCGCTCTTTGATTCTGATTCCCATCATCAGAAAAAGGTACGTTAAATTTTACATTAAATTCCAATTGTTTAGGAATTTAGAGTGATGGGTTTTCTTTTGGTGTATTTTTCTGTGAGTTTCCGCTTTGTCATCCTCATTCATTATTCATAAATTACGTAATGACGATGTATTCTTATTGAATTTAGAGTAATGGGTGTTCAATATAGTTCCTTTTGGATCTTAGGTTGATGGGTCTTATTGATTTTATTAATGGATTTATGAGAAATTTAGTGCTTCAATTCTCTGCATTTTACTCTTTTGGGGCACGTTATTAATGGGTGTTCAATATAGTTCCTTTTTATACTCATGCACATGTGACTGAGATAAAAAATGCCATTCAGATTTCATCAATTTTCGTGGTCATTGTAAAATGGAATATTCAATATAATTGTTGCAAAAACTTAATGTAATAATTATAATGTATATGACAGAAATAATAATCTTAAGCTCTGTTTACCCTTCGCTGCAAGGCAATTTCTATGTACATTCTGCAGTTTAATGGTTCTCTAGTACATGTGCATGAGTATCTGTGTGCATACGTGCTTTCTTCATATTAATACAGGCATAGAAGAGGGGAAAAAAGGGAAAAAAAAGAAAATTGCCTGTCTTGATGCTGCTAATAAATGCCATTAAAACCCCTTTTGATTACATGTGGGCTGTGGATTATGAGATTTATTCTATGACATTTTTCTATGTTCATGCGTATTTTTTTACGGGGGCTTGCTTTGAATGATAAAAGAATTGGTTTTGGCCATTTATATACTCTTTCCTTGTCTATTAAAGTTTGTTTTGATTTGTTAGGCACATGTGATTATGGGTATTTCTTTTTGATAAGAATAATCTTGAATTACGGAGAACAAAGAGGGGACAAAAGGACCTCTTTTGTTCATAGGAGTGCAATAATTTATCAGAAGTTGTAATTGCCAACTTCATCATTCTTAGTGATCTAATGCTTAACGTAGTTACCATTGGATATTGTGTTATGCATGCCTTGTTTTCTTGTCTCATCTTATTTTCTCTCATTGTTGCAACGTGTATGTTAAGTGGAGCTGTGTATAACTTGACCATTTTCTCCCCATTTCTTACTGTTAGAGGCAACTAGATAATTTCCAATTTCTATGATGTCGGTGAGCTTCAAATACTGGGATGACTGTGTGGATCCAGAGGATATGCAGTTACTGTGGACAGATAGAGCTGTGAGAAAAGAATGGACTGATGCTAATGAAAGGAAGGGGCACAAAATTCACCTCTCTCGAGATCCCGATGGACAACCATATCTTACACAGACAGAAATGAGGGTAAGTGGCCGGCTCAATGTTTTAAACAATACGAGATTCGACAAGATCTTACACATCATGTTGAAAGGATTTATACCTACCACACATAAATACATTTTATTGTCCAATTATTTGGACTATGGATGACTACACATTTTATATTAATATTCGGATAAGGTTTATTAACTAATGGGTTTGAGATTGGGCAATGACATTAAATGCTCGTGATTATTTCCAAGTGTACTGAATTTACTGGAAAAAAACATATATTCTTGAATCTAAGACCACATTGGATTGTTTTACAAGTTACTACATTATTTTTTCTAACGATTAAACATAAAACTTGTAGTCAACCACACTTAGTCCTGCTATAATTGACTTCATCTGATGCGTGGGTAAAATATATTAAAACGTTTATCGTTCTGCTAGACGTTGTAGGTACCAAAAAATATTATTTGCTGTGGATATTCGACTACTTTCTCACTCCTCAGGATCATAACCATATTTCAGAGAATGTATAAAACATACAATGCATTATACATTCATAGCATCTTTTCTTTTTCCTTTTTTTTGTGAGATAAAATTTTTCCTAGTTTGTTGTTATAGATCATATTCAGTAATATTTTCCAATTTTCACTTTACCGCTGTATATTGAGCAACTTTAGAGGAATAATTAATTTTGTTCTAATTATTTAAAAAGTAACCCCCGGCTAGCCGGTCCACCAGCCAAATCAGACCCACTGTCGTCTCTCATCCAAAGAAGCAATTTATGCTGTAGTTTTTTTCTACAAAAGTGCACCAATTTGATACATGCGACCACAATTACCACCACTCACCCAAGAAGCAGTCCTACGCAAAGTATTTTCACCCAAAATTGAATTCCATTGAGTTCTTTTATCGTAGAGACTAAGAATTTGTCTCACAGTGTTGCATAGTCAATATTTGGCTTATCTTGTACAGATTTTGGCTTTTCATGCAGAGTTTTTTAATTACTGACAAATTCCCGTGTTACATCTATGATGAGGCAATTGCACAAAAGAGAGGTGATTGTGAAATACAGGGTACTTCTTCAGCAAACATTTAGATGAAGGTCCTAAAAAGTGAATTGTCAAGTCTGTGGTTAAGTTTTATACTGTGAAAATAACACCATAATTTTGGGGTTGTTCTCTTTAATATTTGGCTATATGCATCTCTAATATGCAAAGTAGAGATTTTTTTTTGGGGACTGCCCAAGGGGTCTCTTCAAGCTGTTCAGGATCAATGCAGCTGCATTTTTCTGAGAGATACTTTGTCTTGTGTTCATTCTCGATCTCCACCAAATTTGCCTCATTCTTGAATGAATGCTGAAGGCAATTACATGCATTTCCATTGTGGGTTTTGTACAGAAAGCAGCCATCAAAATGTCAGAGTGTAAATTTTAGCTTAAAGAATGTATGATAACATGTTTTCTGATGTAAATATTTGTTAAATGAGAGGAGATGCTGATAATCGGAGACAGAGGTGTACTTGCTCCTGTTTTCCACAGAGGATAAATTATTGTCTTATTAATCCCATTTGCCTTCTTTTTGCCTTTCTCCCACCTTCTGTTATTGTCTTGGATGAGTGGTGAGACCCTTGCTTTCTTCTTCCTTTATAAAGGACATTGTTTTGAAAACACAGATACCTTCTCCGTGAAAGTCTCTAGGCTTCCATTCAACTTCTTTTGTGCTTTGGCTGCTTTCAAAAAAATAAAAAAAAAATAAAAAGAAAAGACCTGGCATCTCAAGAAATAATCTTCATGATATTTAGGTAGTTTATACTCGGTGGCAGAGAGAGAGAGTGAGAGAGAGAGGTTTTCTGCACTATTAAATAATGGGCAGTTATAGACAACTCTGACGTTTAATTATAACCATTGCTTCATACAATGCTGTCTGTTCAGGCTGTTGCTGGAATTGTTGTAGAAAGGCACTTCAAATCGCAGATAGATTCGGTACGATTATTCTCATCTCCTTCTTTAAAATTTAAATTCATTATCATTCTTTTTCCCCCTTGCATAACACATGAATTTTTTATATGATCATGAACCATATATGCTGAATTTTTCTGAATATATAAACACAATAGTATGTATTTGAAACCCCAACATTATGTAATATTTTCTGCATTATTTACTTGTACTACGTATGCCTATTTTCTGCATAGAGTTTTTAGTCTGATACTCAGTTATTGTTTTCAGTCCTACAGATGCTCATTGGATTGTTTAGTTATATCTTCCTACTCCTTTTTCTCTATTCAGCTCTTTTAAGAGCTCCTCCTCTGTTGAAGGAGCAATCCCCACTTATATCCTGTACATTAGGTGAATAAAATGGCATTCAAAGCCCCTAATGGTACTGTAATCAGAATTTATTACCTAATTGCAAGAGGTCTTTTAGATCTTTTGTTTTCCTTTTATTCATTTATTTTTTTTCTGTATGGCATATAACTTGTTGCATGCTTCTATATGTTTCCTGATGCATACTTGGTTGCCTTAAAAACATTATTGTTTTGGCTTATGCTTTGTGGGGGATCTTATTGCCATGCCCAGCTGTTGTTGCATTTTAACTTATGTCCAAGATTCTCCACAATAATTCAGAATTAAAAAGAAATCATTTTGTCCGCAATCTACATGTTATAAAACCTAGACTTCATTAAATGCTTGATGGTGAAAGGATTGTGAGTCTTAAACCTTTTCTGACAATGATGATAATTTGAGGAAGATTTTATTAGAATAGATATCGCTAGGAGACAAAATATTTAACTACAAAAATACTGAAAATTGTTTTTTTCCTGAACTTACTCCGTTAATGCAGGATATGATCTGTGCTTTGGCTGAAATTTTAAGTGACAGGCAACTTCTAGCAGAGCAGTATGATAAGAAGACAAAGGAGACGAAGATGGGCATCATGCAGATATCACCTATGACTGCAGATTGGCTTATAAGGTAAATATATCTCCTAATTTGAATTAGAAAGTGTTATTAGATTTAGAAATTCAAAATCATAAGATATAAACTTACACCTGTGCTGGTTATTGGAATCTTGCAGGGAAATGGGATATAAGAATTATGTTATACAGGAAAATGCAAATATGCTCTACAAGCCTTTTATAAACGTGTACTTTGGTGCAGCATATATAAAATGGCTGTCTTGTTATGATGAAAAGTATGCTCACAGTTTCAATGGAACCATCTAACTCCATTTGGATCTGTTTGATGTTTCTACTAATTCATGTTCTATCCTGCTGAGACTAATGCTGTGACTGGGATTTGCAGAGAAAGAAGTGAGGAATATGTTGTAAGAGCTTATAAGTGTGGCATAATTAAGGCAGCGCACAAGTCAACCACAGATTATTTCCAGCGCTATCTTTTTATCAAAGATAGCTTGCCTCCGAAGAGGTTTCATACTTATTCGACCTTAGTTTTCATTTGGCTTTAGCACTTCAGTTTTTCACTTTTTGTCTCATTTGGGTTAATATAATTTATGCTTGAAGTTAAAATATGTTAAAATTATGTTGATCATTGTTTAGTAAAATGCTGGGTAAACGTCCTTATTGAAGACGTGTTTCCTTCATCAAAACTCTGGTAATTAGGATGACTATGTAATCAAATTTTATCAATTTAGAAAGTGCCTGATCTCTATAATCTATATTATAGTGCCCTTTTTCATGATCTTCTAAGGATCAAGTTGGGCTTCTGCTCAACTCTACAGGATACGAAAATCCTCTAGAGGTCGCCTTGAACTTTTGACTTAATTTGAGCCAACCACAAGTAAGCATTTTCCCACTATTTGATGTTCTTTCTTCTGTTAATGAAACATGTGTTAACTGTTAAGAAAGCAACTTCTCTTTTCCTTCGTTATTTTCATGGGTTATAGTCCATGTTTTTTTCTATTTTATTTGTTTTGACCATTTAATTATTAATTGTGCAAATTTCAGCATTCTTGATTTCCATGAGCTATATCCCATGATTTTTGTCCATTATTATTCTTCAATACAATTGCAATTGATTATGACTACAAGAATTTGCAATTTTTGTGGGTCATAACAACACAATTTTGGCAATTTTTATTATTTTTGCGTGAATGCCAAGTAGTTGTACACACTTCAAATTCATGATTTTCATGGGTTTTAGCCCATGAATTTAGTCTGTTTTCATTAGTACCCGAGAGCAATTTCTTTTGTTAGAAGTTGCGATTTTCATGGGCTTTAACATGCAATTTCTTGCTAGTTTTTCTTTAGCTCAATGGAAAATAAATACGCATACTTCAAATTTCATGATTTTCATAGGCCAGAGTTCATTTTCTTTTTTCCATTTTTCATGTTTTCAATCATTAAGCAATTAGTTGTGCGAATATGCACGATTTTCATGGGCAAAAACTACAACTTTTAACGATTTTCATTTGTTTCGATCATTTAGCAATTAGTTGTGTGAACTTTAGTAACAGTTTTAATGGGTTATAACGGTAAATTTCGTCCATTATCATTTAATCAACCCAATGTCAATTAATTATTACTACTTCAAATTCCATGTAGTTGGTGAGTTATTCTCCACAATATTGGTAATTTTTGCTTGTTTCATCCCCATTGCATGTGATTCTCTGCACATCAAAGTTCCTAATTTTTATGGGCTATAATTCACGATTTTTTTCTCTTTTCCTTAGTTCTAATCCAATTGCAATTAAATTTTCTTTAATAAAAGTCACGATTTTCATAGATTTTAACCCACGATCTTTTGCAGTTCTCGTTCTTTGACCCAATGGAAAACAAATATTCGTACTTCAGAATACATGACTTTCATGGTCTATAGTCCATAATTTGTCCTTTTTTTCATTTCAACCATTTAGATTAATTGTGAATTTCAATTTTCACATTTTTATAGGCGATCTACGATTTTTGATAATTTTCTTTCATTTGAACCCAATGAGAAATAATATTTCTTTCTTCAAAACTCAAAAGTTATGATTTTCATATGCTATTGATTTCATCAATTTTCATTCTTTGTCCCAATGGAAAGTAAATATGCTATTTCAAAATTTGTGATTTTTCATAGTTTTAACCTACCATTTTTGACAATTTTTGTTCATTCCTAGCATTTGCCAATTAATTGTGTGAAGTTCAATGATTGCGGTTTTCATTGGTTCTAACTGACAAATTTTACCGATTATTGTTCATTTGTTTCAATGGCAGTTAATATGAATACTTCAAAATTTCTTGATTTTCGCATATCATAACCCTCGATTTTGGCAATTCTTGTTAGTTTCGTCTTAATGACAAGTAATTATCTATACTTCAAATTCATGATTTTCATGGTCTATTGTAACCCACGGTATTAGTTTTTTTTCATTATTTTTGACTCGATGACAATTAGAATCTCTTTCATCAACAGTTGAGATTTTCAAGGGCGATTGTCAAGTCTTTGTTTTTCAACCCAATGGAAAACAAATATGTGTAATTGTGTATTTAAAAATTCATAATTTTCATGGGTTATATTCTATTATTTTTGTCCATTTTCTCGTTTGGACCATTGAGCAATTAGTTGTGCAAATATCAATACTCACGATTTTTTATAGGCTATAACCAATAATTTGTCAGTTTTCGTTCATTTCGACCCCATACCAAATATGTTTTCTTTCTTCAAAAATCATAATTTTCTTGGGCTATAACTCATGTTTTTTGTAAAATTTTTATTCTTCAATCTAATGGATAATAAATATATTACTTTAAAATTTGTTATTTTGATGAGCTATAACTTTTGTTTATTTTGTTCATTTTGACCTTTTAGCAATTAATGTGCAAACTTCTATATTCGTGATTTTCATGGGGAATATACCCCACAATTTTGTCTCATTATCGTTTATTCGACCCAATATCAACTTATGACTACTTTAAAAATTTCAATTGTGATGGGTATAACGCGTGATTCTGGCCATTGTTGTTTGTTACATCCTAATGACAAGTAACTATATATACTTCACGGTTCACGGTTTTCATAGTCTATTACCCTTGATTTTAGTTTATTGTTAATTTCTATCAAATGATAATTAATTTTTTCTTACATAAAAATTACGATTTTCATGGGTTATAATCTACAGTTTTGTTTATTCCCGTATTTCTATCCGATAGAAAATGAATTTGATAAAGTTTGTTATTTCATGGCTTACAGGCTATTTTTGTCCTTTTTTTCATTTTGACCACTAAGCAATCAATTGTGCAAATTTTAATGTTCACGACTTTCATGGGACATGACCTACAATTTTGGTAATTTTTGTTCGTTTCCTCCCAATGCCAAGTAATTATACATTCTTGAAAATTCATGATTTTCTATAACTTATGAATTTTATCTACTTTCATTCATTTTGACCATATGACAAATATGTTTTCTTTCAAACTCATGATTTCCATGGGCTATGACCCTCAAAATTTGTCAATTCTCATTCAATATAAAGACAACTACTTTTGAGTATTTCAAAATTCATGATTTTCGTGGGTTTATGAAGCACAATTTTGACAAATTTTATTCTGTTTTCTCTTAATGGCGAGTAAAATTACGCGTACTTTAAAACCCATGACTTTATTGGGATATGACCCATAGTCTTAATCTATTTTTTTTATAAAAATTATGATTTTCATGGGATTTAACTCAATCATTTGTCAATTTTCGTTCTACAGCCCAATAGAAAATAAATATGCATACCTCAAAGTTAATTATTTTAATGGGATATTGTACATTATTTTTGTTAATTTTGTTAAAACCATTTAGCAATCAATTATGCAAACTTCAATATTCACAATTTTTATTGACTATAACCCATGATTTTTGTCCATTATAATTCATTCAAGTCAAAGGTGATAAATTATGACTACTTAAAAGTTCAAGAATTTTAGTGTGTTATAACCTACAACATTGTCCTTTTTTGTTCATTTCGAGCCAATGGCAATAGATAATGACTAATTCAAATGATATTCATGTGCTACTCATGATTTTAGTCAATTTTTCTTAGTTTTAATTTGATAGCAATTAAATTTTCTTTTATAAAAAATTGTGATTTTTATGGGCATTATCTAATGATTTTTTGCAATATTTGTTCTTCAACCATAGGGAAAGCTAGTATGTATACTTCAAAATTCATGATTTTCATTGGGCTATAGTCCATGGTTTTGCCCTTTTTCATTTCTACCATTTACCAATTATTTACGTGAATTCAATATTCACGATTTTCATGAACAACCCTTAATTTTTGGTCAATTTTAATTCATTTCACCCAATGGCAAACACATTTTCTTTCTTTAAACATTGCAATTCTCAAAGGTTATGGATTTTGTCACTTTTCATTCTTCAACACACATGAAAATAAATTTGCTATATCAAAATTCACAAATTTCATGGGCTAACAAATGATTTTTAAAATTTTTGTTTGTTTTGAGTTATTAGGAATTAAATCTTTGGAGTTCGATATTCGCGATTTTCATGGGTTATAATCTATGATTATTGACAACTATTGTTCATTTGATTTAATTGCAATTAATATGAATGCTTCAAAATTCACGATTTGGTGGATTATATATCCACAATTTTGGCAAAATTTGTTCGTTTTGTTCTAATGACAGATAATTATCTGTACTTCATAATCCATGATTTTCATAGGCTATTATAACCCAGCATTTTTGTCTATTTTTATTATTTTTGACCAGATGATAAGTAAATTTTCTTTCATTAAAAGTCGCGGTTTTCTTGGGCACCCATAATTTTTTTTATCAATTATTGTTTTTCAACCAAATGGAAAACAAATATCCGCACTCTAGATTCATGATTTTATAAGCTATAGCTCATTTTTATCCCATTTACTTGTTTTGACCATAAGCAATTAGTTTGGTGAATTTTAGTACTCGCGATTTCATGGGCTATATAACCAAAGATTTTTTTAAAATTTTCATTTGTTTCAACAACATGGAAAATAAGTAATATTTCTTAAAAAATCGCGATTTTCATGGGCTATAACCTACGATCTTTTGTAAAATTTTTATTTTTCGTCCCAATAAAAAATAAATATATTACTTTAAAATTCATGATTTTGATGGAGTATAATGCACAATTTTGGAAGTTTTTGTTCGTTTTGTCCTAGTTGCAAGAAATTATACGTACTTCATATTTCGCGGTTTTCATAAGCTATAATCCATAATTTTAGTTATTTTTGTTAGTTGCGACCTATGTTGCGTGGGTAAAGGGCGGGTATGGATATGGTCCCCGATGAGGACATGGGACATGGCAAATTTGTAAAAAGTGAGATACGAGGATAAGTATATATATACATATTAAGGGTTGAACATAATTTTTTCATTAACATGTTATGAGAATTAAAATCCGTTCAATATTTTTATGTTTTTTCTATTGAATAG